CTTTAGAAAATATAAAAAAGAAAATGTATTTTCAAAAAATTATTATAATTTTTGTAGTTTTTAAAAAGTATTTTTTAATTGCTGTAATATTTTCTAATTTGTGATTTGAATTACTTACTAAAGTTATTCTTATAGTAATTTAAAAAATCAAAAATATATTTTAAAATATTATGATTCTAAATTTAAATTTCAAAAATTTAGAAAATCTAAAAAAGAAAATGTATTTTCAAAAATTATTATAATTTATTTAATTTTTTAAAAGTATTTTTTAAAAGTAATTTTTAATTACTTTAATATTTTCTAATTTGTGATTTGAATTAGTTACTAAAGATATTCTAATTGGTTATATTTGAATATCTAATTTTCAAAAATTTGTTATAATTGCTATAATATTTTTATTTACGATATGAATTAAGTACTAAAGATATTTAATTGATTTTATCTAAATATCAGATTTAAAAAGAAATGTCTTAATGAGGTAATTTAATTTTATTTGTAATTTGCATTAGTTATTAAAGATATTTCCAAATATATTCTAATTGATTATAAATTAAATTTTTTCTATATTCGAATACTTGATTATAAATTAATTATTTATTAATTTGAATGTCTGATTTGAATTAGTTACTAAAGATATTGTCAAAGATATTCTAAAAAATTCAAAATGCCAAAATATATCCTCAAAATTTTATTATAATTGCTGTAATTTTTAAAAACCAAAAAAAATTATTTGTAATTTTTAAAAGCTATAATAATGTAAACACAAAAAAATATATTTTAAAATATTATAATTGAAATTTTTAATTTTCTAAAATTATTAGAAAATTTTAAAAAGAAAACATATTTTCAAAATTTGTTATAATTGCTAAAATATTTTTAAAAACGGAAAAAACTTTTTTAAACTTTATTTTTAACTGTTGTAATATTTTTTTAATCTGATTTAGATCTAAATGAGGAGATTTGATTTTATTTTTTATTTGAATTAGTTAATAAATATATTACAATAGATATTGTAATTGGTTATAAATTAATTTTTTCTATATCTATATATCTGATTATAAATTAATTTTTTCTATAACTGAATATCTGATTCGAATTAGTTACTAAAGATATTGCCAAAGATATTCTAAGAATTCAGAAATGCCTAAATGTATTTTCAAAAAATTATTATAATAATTTTAAAAATTAAAAATATATTTTAAATAAGATATTTTATTTTTGTAATGTTTTAAATTGCTAAATATATATTTATGTGAAAATTTCAAGATTATGTTAATTACATAAATGTTATAAATAATTAAAAATTTATTTTCACAACTATGTAAAAATGTAATAAAATATAAATTCAATTTGAAATTTAGGAAAATAAAAAATTTCAATTATATAAAAATGAAAAAAATAAAATTGTAACATGTAGATTGGAATTAAAATTCAAGTTCTCAAAGATTTATATTTTTTATAACAATTAAAATTGAAAAAAAATACTGCACAAATTAAAATAAAAATTTTATTATATCGGTGTGGATGAAGTTCTTGAACTATTATCCCTCCAAGCAATTAACGAGCCATGTGTTGAAGATAAAATTACATAGGCAAAAAACCGACAATTTGAAAAAAGTTTGAAAACATTTAAAATGGGTAAAAAATAATGTTAGGACTCATGTGTGTGAGCCTACTTCTCTAATCTTGTTTTCATGAATAACATACAATTTCTAATCTTTTTTCTAGTGTTTGTGTTTTTATATTATATGCATTCAGGATATATTTGAGCATAACGAAGATATTCTTGGAGGTTGAATGATTTTGTAATGAAGCCGTTGCAACTAATATCAAGATTCAACATCGCTTCATCCGTCACCAAGATTGAGCTCTAACGAAGACCATTAGCTTGGGTAAAATAGCTTAGGTTTATACTTTGTGCATTAAACTTATAGGCTCAATTCATACACAATCACATTTTTGAAAATATACTAAGTTTTGGGATTATTGGCTTAACAACAATGTTTCATATCTCTTATCAAGTCCATTACTCCACTCAAATAATTTTCCAAACTTGCATATGGTCATTGTGTCAAAAACAAGCAATTACAAACTCGTATTTCTAACACTTTTGCAAAATAACAAGTTTTTGCAAACGTTAATTACGTTTTAAAAAATTTCTTCGCTGACATGTTCATCTTCATGGTTATAAATGTTTTCCAAAATTTTAATATTTTTGGAGTCAATTTGTTATGTTTAATTGAATTTTCAAAATCAAATTTTCTGTAAATAGCTCCTAGAAAATCTCATGTATCAGTTCTGGTTGACCGAACACATGACACTGGTCAACCGACCAGAGAAAGGTTTTTCAGCATCTTGTTCTCAGGGTCATCAGTTGACCAATACTCATGTATCAGTTGACCGATGAACATCCTTTGGTCGACCGGACCTTGACCATCGGTCGACCGAAAATGTGTCTGTTGCACAATAACGGCTAGTTTTCAGATTTTTTTTATTGGTTTGCCTTGATTTTTGTGCATTCCTCTAGTTTGGGCTGATGTGTTGAGACTATATATAGTTCTCAACACTTAGATTTTATCATGGAAGTTTATAAAAAGTTTTACAAGTTTTTAAGAGTTTCAAAGAAAAATTAAATGTGTTTCATTTGTGTTTTACAAGAGAAGAATTGCTATAACATATTTGGGAATCTCTATCTCAAATTTCTACCTCTCTTGTTTATCGGAGAAGTTTTCTAAACTCCTTTCTTCTAGCAAATTATTATTAGAGAAGTTTTCTAAACTCCTTTCTTCTAGCAAATTATTATTATCGTTTTTCATATATTCTTGCTAGATTAATTTGAGTTTGATTTTATTTATACTCTTATTATCGTTTTTCATATATTCTTGCTAGATTAATTTGAGTTTGATTTTATTTATACTCATTGTTTACTCACACACCCCTTTAATATAATTATAGGGTTGTGAGGTTGTAACATTGAGAGTGAGCTTAATTGAGTTCTCATCTTTGTATTAGAGAACAAATCTTGTATTTACGCTTTTATTGTTGAGAACATGTAGTAATATACAAGGACACCGAGAGAAGTGGTTGGTGAGAGACGGGATCAATTCCTAGAGGAGTGGCGTCGGTTATAAATCCTAGGGAGAGATCGTAATTCCGAGCACTTGAGGAAGGTGACACGGGGTAGGCCAACACTTAGAGGGTGTTTTTTATGATTGCAATTGTGTGAGTTGTAAACGTTATCGATGAGTGTCGAAAACCGAGTGTGTAGTTGATTGATTTGAGATAGTGGAGTTTTTCCTCGACAGTGGGGAGCGGAGACGTAGGTCAAGGGTGGACTCCGTGAGCATATTTTGTGTTTGTGTTTGTTATTTATTGTACTCTTTCATTTTGCTCTCATTACTCATATCTCATTACATATCCTAGCTCATATAACTTGATATATTTCATATTTGCTAGGAAAATTGTTAATAAGTTTTAATTTGGCATTAATATCAGATTAGATTATCAAATACCTTACTCACCCTCCCTCTAGGGAAATTTCAAATAATACACTGTAATATTTTAAAAAATAAAAAAAATTTACAAAAATTTAATATCAGTATATATTAAATACGGGAATTATGTTCTCTAAGCAACAAAAGTGTCATGGTTTGAAGATTAAAAATCACCAATTTATTTTTCTACAATAACATAAAAAATATCAAAAATACTAAATTAAAAATTATTATTCAATGGTTGTAGAATAAGTACCTAAATAATCTTTCTGAAATTAATAGTGTATGGGATAGTAGGTAAAATATCGGGGAGTTATTTCTTAGAATTAAAACTCAAGATCCAAAAAATTAATATTATTTGATAACAGTTAAAACTAAAAAAAGTACTATAAAAATTGAAATAAAAATTATATTGAATGAGGGTATATGAAATACCTAAATTATTTTCCTCCGAGAAATTAAGGAACCATAGGATGAAGATAGAATTAAAAACCGACAATCTAAAAAACAAAATTTGAAAATAATTAAAATCACTAAAAATAATACACAAATTAAAGTAAAACATAAATATTAGATGCTGCTAGATTAATTACCTTATATATTTTTTAGAAATCGGAATAATAATTTAGAGTAGGAATTAGAAACTGACAATCTGAAAAACAAAAAATTTGAAAATAATTAAAATCTTAAAAAATACACAAATGAAAATAATTGGATGGTTCTAGATTAATTACCTGATGTATTTATCAGAGATCGAAATAATAATTCAAAGTCCTCTAAAAAATTAAGATGGGAAAACCAAAATGTAAAAAACTTAAGATGGGAAAAGTGACTGGAAAAATAAAATCGGATTTTGAAATAAATAGATTTTTTGGTGTTTCAAAAAAACCAAAATGTATTTTTTTCCCATATATTGAAAAGAAAATGCCTAAATAAGGGGATTTAATTTTATTTGTGATTTGAATTAGTTACTAATGGTATTACCAAATCTATTACCCCTTTAAAAGAGCGAGTTACTGAAAAAACTTTCCCTCCCCAAATTAACCTTCAACCGGAAGCTATATACCAATCTCATCCCTTAGAACATCCGCAGATATCAAAAGCCCTCCTTAGAACATCCGCAGATATCAAAAGCCCTAAATATTCCTTCGTTTCCTCCTCTCCGCCTTCTCCTCAGCCCATTCAATTCGAAGATTCATCCGTTACCCTAAATCTTCCTTAGGTTCCGCCTTCTCTCCGCCTTCTTTCAGTTCTTATTACGTTACGCCTTCCCACGATGTTAAGCCATAAATTTCCAAAGATGATTGTTCTTGCCCTAATCATAATCTCTGTGCATCCGCCATCATCTCCTCAGCTGTCTGAAATTTGGCATCGGTAAGAATGATTTTTCTTTTATGCTCTTCATTTAATCATTTAATTTAATTTTGTTCTAATTAGGCATCGGTAAGAATGATTTTTCTTTTATGCTCTTCATTTAATCATTTAATTTAATTTTGTTCTAATTAGCAATCATCTCCTTCTGTTCTAATTCAACAAAAGGTCAAGGATTTTCCGAATCAGGGCTTGCTTCAATTCTTCGTATTGCTCCTTTTTCTGTTTCATCAGGTAAGCCATTTACTCTTTTGGATTTTTATATTATAATCATCAAATTTTATTTTTAAGTATATGTTATTCCAAAAATGTGTAATAAAAGCTTTCTCCTGGATTAAAAAGTCGAGTATCATGCTATTATAGTACATTTTAGTGGAAATTATATGGTATGATACATTAGTCCTTCAAACCATGAATCAGAACTCGATCTCAAGAAGATGCAAATTGTTTTAGGTGTTAACCAAAATTAATTTATTAAAGACTTAGGCCAACTAATTGAAACATTAGATTGTTTCACGTATCAGTTATTTTAAATTTTTAATCTAGATTGTTTCAGGTAATAAACATTGATTATTAACAAAACTAATTGAAAGTTATATATTCTCGATAATCTTGTGTTTGTATAGATTTTTAAAAATGCTATATGGATTTGAAAATTATAGTACTAATTTTCAGGAGTTTTGGTAGTTTATGAAGATTTTAATTCAGATCGTTAGATGTACATATGGGAGTTTAGCTTGTTCCTATGCTTTATATATAGGCTTTCTACATTAGTTCTTCTTCTTTTATTTTTATTAATTACAATACGATATGAACAGTCAACAGTCCCAGTAGTTCACCTAATTTTTTCTATATTTACTGGTCATTATTAGCGTATGTCAGTCTATCTTAATTGCCATTAGCAAATATTGTCAACATGAGCAATCTGATAACTTTTTTTGAGTGTACTAACATATCCAAGCTATTAGTAGACAAGTGGATATATACGTTTTAGAGAAAGTTGTAAATGTTACAGCTTTATTTTTCCTTACTATTTTGTCTTTTTAGAACTACTTGAGAGTACATGATATATATAGTTCAAGAAGAACCAACTTCAAATAAATGCCTAGGTTTCTGATATGGTTATTGCTTATGAGGCTCAGATGTACATATGCCTTAACCTAATGGAGTTTGGATGTGAATAATGGTATGTATCAAATTAATTGCAGTGGATTAACGTTTTGACCTCAATTATATATGTCAGTAGGAAATAGCAGTTATTAGCAAATTAGTGGTAAGTTATTCTTGATATTAAGGTAAGATGGCATTGCATATGTTAAAACACTTGAATTGAAATTTAAAATATTACTTTAACTTAAGAATTAGAATGTGAGCAGTCAGCCATTTCACTGACCAAACTCAAGAATTATAATGTGAGGATACTTTAACTTAAAGTATCAATATGAGCAGTTAGCCATTTCTTCAACTGACAAAAAGAATAATTTGCATCTAGGGCGGTTCTGATCATTGATAAAAACTCAAAGTACCATCTGCCTGAACAAATGCTCCAAGGTTCCTTAGTTGCATGAATCATTAAACACCAACAATGGTTATTTTCCTTAATTTTCCTTTCTTCTTACTTCTATCTTTCAGATGGTTCTTTTTGTCTTTTTTATCATCTGTCTCTGCTTAAAATTTAGGATGTTGTAAAGCTATGCATGTTCTTTGTGCTTTCCTCTTACGTATTCAACAAGTACAAGTTGTTCTTTGCAATTTCACATTTTCCTCCTTCCCTCTTTATATTTTTAATATCTTCTTGGCTACTGGTAAACATTTCATGAATCGAAGGGCCTTATCTTACTCTGTAAGAGTGTTGTTTGGACACCGTTGAGGATATACTCAAGTTTTTGCTGCAGTCTTCAGGGGCCGTTTCTTAATTAAGTTAAAGAAATATTTTTCCTTTGGATATGGATTCCTTAAAAAATATCAGATTCTTGAATTTTCAACTCTACCATCTATATCTATTTATCTATCTATCTATCTATCTATTTCTATATATATTACTAAAACAAGAGCCTCTGGTTGTGGCGTTTGCACTTGGCAGATTTGTAGATTTTCAACCTTTTAACTTTCCTAATTAATATTTTGTCAAGAAAACTTCCCTAATTTATATCTAATCTTTACTTCCATCAATTTAACTCAACGCTTCCACATTTTTTCTTCTCTGTATTACCTTCAAATATTCTCTTCTCTGTCCTCTTCACTTAACTTTTTTTTTCCTCCTTGCAATTGATTGTGATTCACTTGCTCTTTGTTCAATTTCTTCAGTGAATCCAAGCAGATCTATGATGCTTGCTACCCATTTTCTCGTAATCAATTTTTTCTTTTCCTTTATTGTTTATTTCCCTACTTTTTTCCCTTGTTGGAACTGTTATGTTGAATCAACAATTAGATGGGTCTGATTGTTTGTAAGGGTTTTATTTTTTCCCTTGTTGGAACTGTTATGTTGAATCAACAATTAGATGGGTCTGATTGTTTGTAAGGGTTTTAGTTCTGTATCTGATTTTTTTAAACAGTTGAATCAACAATTAGATGGGTCTGATTGTTTGTAAGGGTTTTAGTTCTGTATCTGATTTTTTTAAACATGCGGCTGAAATATCTGGGCTGAAAACAGACCACTGGGACTAAAAAAAGTTCTCTGGACATCACAAAAATAGTTTTTGTTTGTGTATTATAGATGATATCCATAAATTTGAGAACAGTTCACAAATATCTTTCCTGTTATAATATGCAACAATTTACCACGTGCATTGCACATGTATTTCAATTGGACTCTGTATCAAGTTGATATTTGTGGTTACTGATGCATGTATATTTTATTAACTGGATTGACGAATTTACCTTAGCCAGTCACCTAAGTATCCACCTTTATATTCACTACCAATCGATTTTCCATGTGTCGTACCCGAAATTGACCGATTATGAAGAAATTTCCTAAAATTCTTGGCAAGTGACAAATTTCTTTCAAGTATATACTTTCTTAAATTTCTCGCTGCACCCACAATCAAAACTTAAAAAACTTTTTCCTATATCACCTTTTTCTTTTCAGCTCCTTCATCTTGTGTCTCTATAATCATATTGTATAAAATAATGAGAATGGTTGAAAGCTATCAGAATTAAACATTTGAATAGTACCAACATGTTGGGAAAAAAAACAATAAGGAAAAGGTCTAATTACCAAGGCATCCATGGATGATTCCATTTGACTCCCGTATCTCTCTGCGAATACTTGTCTGAGATCAGATAATTCTGGCATATCAGAAAACCTTGCAGCAGCAAAAATAAGAGTCGAGATATCTTCCATAGCTCCTTCAGGACATTCCCTGCTCAAAACAGACACATGCACATTCTGCTGTCACTCACTGTAACTAACTCTATGTAATCTCAAACTCATTTAATTTACTGAATATAGTCAGTCTTAGAAATTAGTGCTAAATATTTTTTGTTATGCCTATTTATTTGGTAGAGTCAGTGTTGTTCATATGCTTATTGTATTGAGCCTTATATTATAGACTGATTTATAAAAATAACATTTTGGTAGTGTTGGCTGAACATTTATTTGTCGTAATATTTCCAATTCTATCTCCTTCACTGTGATTTACATGGTATTTGCGTATTTGGCCATCTTCAAGCTATCTACTCATAATAATAACAAGTGACACCTATAAAGTTAGTATTTTTGTCGTGAATTCTTTTACCACACAACGTAACATCCTAATTTATTCGTCTCAGGTAAAAAATTTAACATTTTTTTAAATTATGTATGTTGTCTCTGAATAATTATGTATGTTTTGTCTCTGATTAATTATATAAGTTTTGTAATACACTATTACGTGTAGATTAAATTATTTAACATTTTTTCATATTAATGCAGATATCCTACTTGGTTGGATTTGCCTTGTTTTTTAAAACAATTCTAAAGTTGTCGGTGATTCAGGTTAGTTAAACAATTTTCTTCTCTTTTCTCTTTAATTTGTTCATAGTGATGATAACTCTATTTCCTTGTATTTATCTTCTTCTACACTTAAATATTTATTATTATTATTATTATATGACTTAAAAAAAATTAACCTTAGCATATGAGATATTTGTGGTTACTGATGCATGTATAGTTTACCAAATTTCTAAAAAAAAGCCTTAAGTACTATTGAACAACAAATAAAATATACTTATTCTCTCAAATTATATTCACTGCTATACTTATGTTTAATTTAATAAATCAATAATTTAACACATTAATTTTTTTTTCCCTTGTAGAAATTTACATACTACTTCTTGGATTGCATAATCACTATACATTTGCATAAGAGTACCTTCTTCCAAATGACTTCAAACCAAGGTTTGAATTCAACATAAATATATATTATTATTGCTTTATGTGTATTTGTGTTTATTAATAGTATATTTTATAATTTTTTAACAGAAGACCACATTCTAATACATGAGAGTAGAAACACCAAATATAATCAGTTGAATGTTGATCAGAAGAGAACTTACATTCAGAAGGTCATTGATAATAATATAAAGAGGAAAAGAAATGATTTAGCTGGCAGTAGTACCAATAGCAAGGGAAAACGTAAGATTGATTTATTTTGTGGAGCGCAACAGCGAGAATATGAGCATGGAGGTTTGCATAGATTAATTTTATATTTTATTAAAATAATTACATGATTTTATATATCTAAATTTATTTAACACTAAAAACTATTATTTTTTTCTAGGTCAAATTACACATGAACCAGTATGTTCTTTATTACATAAACTACGGACTCCAAAGTCTTGTTCATTTTGTGGAGCAAAAAAGTTTGAACATGAGCCACCAACATCCTGTTGTCACAATGGTGAAATCCACCTAGCAGATGTGAATGTTAATGATGAGTTATATGCCCTTTATACGGTACAAACCCAAGAGGCAATTGAGTTTCGAAGACAAACCAGAAAGTATAATAGCATTTTCTCATTCACATCATTTGGGGCAAGGTTTGATAGAGAACTTGCATCAAACAGAAAGGGTATTTTCACATTTAGAGCACAAGGACAAATATATCATAATCTCCCCTCTCTTATTCCAGAAGAAAATAAGCCTTCCTACTTTCAACTTTACTTTTACGATACGGAGAATGAGTTGCAAAATCGAATGGGAATATTAGATAATGCAAACATGAGTACGACTACAACTAAAAGATTGATGGATATATTAGAAGGAAACCCATATGCAAAATTTCTGCGGAAACTAAATGATTTTCCATCTCTTGAAGACTTCAAGATCATTATAAATAGAGATGCTGCAGTAGATCAACGTGTTTACAACTCGCCAACAGTGGATCAGGTTGCAGCTATCTGGGTAGAGGGAAATAATGATAATGTTCCGTATGAGAGAGAAATAGTTGTCCATTCACACTCCGGAGTTCCAGATAAGAGACACTCGACAATCTACTGTATTAACATCGGCAGGCCGGTTGTTCCATCAATATGCTGTTGATATGTACATAAAGCTTGAAACAACAAGACTTGATTATTTTAGAAAGAAACAATCAGAAATCAGAGCAGAGTTATTCCAAGGCATAGTCGATAGTGTAGCTGCTGGAGAAGCAAAAGCATGTCAAGTCGGAAAAAGAATAGTGCTGCCATCATCATTTATTGGTGGTCCTAGAGATATGCGTCGTAGATATCTTGATGCAATGTCATTAGTACAACGATTTGGCAAACCAGATATTTTCATCACAATGACATGCAATCCTGAATGGGAAGAAATCACGGAGGAGCTACATCCAGGACAGACACATAATGATAGACCGGATCTAACCTCAAGGATATTTAGAGGAAAATTGCAAGACTTGAAAGATCAGCTATTTAAAAAGGAAATCTTTGGAAAAGTTGCTGCCCATGTTCATGTCATCGAGTTTCAAAAAAGAGGGTTGCCTCATGCACACATGTTGATTATTCTAATGGGAAAACACAAAATCGTCTCATCAGATCATTATGATAAGTACGTATCAGCAGAAATTCCAAACCAGTATGAAAATCCAATCCTATATGAACTGGTAAAAAAACATATGATGCATGGCCCTTGTGGAGAGTTAAATATGAAGAATGTTTGCATGCAAAATGGCGAGTGTAAATATCACTACCCTAGAGAGTTTTCTCGAATGTTTGCATGCAAAATGGAGAGTGTAAATATCACTACCCTAGAGAGTTTTCTCCAAGATCACTACAGGCGAAAGATGCTTACCCAATTTATAAAAGGAGCAAAAATAACAGAACAATGTTGGTTCGAAACAAAATCCTTAATAATCAATGGGTGGTACCTTATAATCCCTATTTGCTGACACGTTATAACTGTCACATCAATGTTGAAATATGCTCAGGCATAAAAGCAGTTAAATACCTTTATAAGTACATATATAAAGGTGCAAGATGGGTATCAGCTCAAGAAGCTTTTTGGAGAATATATGAATTCCATCTTAATGAGATATTCCCGGCTGTGATTAACTTACAACTTCACATGCCAAATCATCAATATGTTTCTTATTGGAAACATCAAGACCTATCTAAATTGATTCACTTGGACCATGTCTCCAAGATGATGCTTACAGAATTTTTTACTATGTGTAAAAAAATTAAAGAAGGTAACAAGAAGAAACATGAAAAAGACCATGTAAAGGAGTTATTATATGTGGAATTTCCTGAATGTTATGTTTGGGATTCAACATCAAAATCTTGGAGTCCAAGAAAACAGAGATAAGTGATAGGTCGAATAAATGGGGCTAATCCAATTGAAGGAGAGAAATATTACTTGCGACTATTGCTTACTCATGTTAGGTGTCCAAAATCATTTGAAGATCTACTGACGGTAAATGGTACTCATTGCAAATCTTTCAAGCAATCAGCTCAGAAATTAGGTCTTTTGGAATCTGATGATAGCATAAGAGAGTGCTTAGATGAAGCCATCGTCTTCCAAATGCCAACAACACTTCGACGTTTGTTTGCAACTATATTGGTTCATTGTGAGCCTACAGATGTTAATCATTTGTGGGATAAATATCTTGAATCATTATCTGAAGACTTCTCAAGGAAACCAAATGCTACTACATCTTCGGTGATAAATGATACTCTTCTCAATATTAACTTCTATTTAGAGAGTATGGGAAAGGATATTAAAAAAATTTGATTTGCCACCTTTACAAGCAAAAAACATTACAGAGGAAGGTTCATACCCAAGAGAAATTAAAGAAGAGCTAGATGTACAAATCTCAACTGATGATCTAAATGCTGCAACAAAACTCAACTATGAACAACATACTGCATACACTACAATACTAACAAGAGTTGAAGCAAATAAAAGTGGAGTTTTCTTTATTGACGGTCCAGGAGGAACTGGGAAGACTTATTTATATCGTGCTCTACTTGCCACAGTAAGATCGCAAGGTATGATAGCTCTTGCTACAGCGACATCAGGTGTCGCAGCTGTAATAATGCCTGGTGGAAGAACAGCACACTCCAGATTTAAAATCAAAATCCCAACAACAGATTCATCTATGTGTGGTATATCAAAGCAAGATGGGACATCAAAACTCCTTAGAATAGCACGTCTAATAATTTGGGACGAGGCTCCTATGGCTAAACGCGTTGCAATTGAAACATTTAATGGATCAAGATGAACCATTTGGCGGAAAAGTAATCGTATTTGGTGGTGATTTCAGAAAAGTTTTACCAGTAGTCCCTCGCTCAACAAGATCACAAACTATCAAAGAAAGTTTAGTAAGCTCACATTTATGGAGAAAAATGATCAAACTACAACTTTCAAAAAATATGAGAGCAAAATCAGACACAACATTCAGTGAATTTCTTCTTAGGATTGGGAATGGAGATGAACCAACAGTGACACAGGATCTCATAAAACTACCTAATGCAATGTTGATCCAGAATCAAGGTGATGAGCTACCGGAAGATTCTCTCATAAATTCAATTTTTCCATCTTTAGACGAAAATTTTAAGTCTATTGACTATATGAAAGATAGAGCAATCCTTGCAACAAAAAATGAATATGTTGACATGTTAAATGATAGACTAATAAAAAGGTTTCCAGGAGAAGGAAAAGAATTCTATAGCTTTGATGAAGCAGTTGATGACACTAATCATCATTACCAAGAAGAATTTTTGAACACTCTGCTCCCTAATGGACTACCGCCACACAAGCTACTGTTGAAGAAATATTGTCCAATTATTTTACTAAGGAACTTGGATCCAACTAATGGACTGTGCAACGGTACAAGAATGATATGTCAAGATTTTAGCTACAATGTAATTCAAGCTAAAATCACAATGGGCCAACATGCTGGGAAAGAAGTTTTCTTGCCAAGAATACCATTGTCACCAGCAGAAGATGAAGGATTACCATTCAAGGTCAAACGCAAACAATTTCCCATAAGATTATGTTTTGCAATGACAATTAATAAATCCCAAGGGCAAACAATACCTAACGTAGGTATTTATCTACCTGAACCAGTGTTCTCTCATGGGCAATTATATGTTGCTTTATCGCGGGGTACTTCTATGATGACAACCAAGGTATTAATAACATCAGATGGAAAATTTTCAGAAGAGGAACAATACACAAAAAATGTTGTATACAAGGAAGTTCTCCAGCCAAAGGACCACGAGGAATAATTCAAATGACCAATAACATTTTCAAAGGTTAGGAATTTATTATATATTAATTAATAAATTCAAATTACTATAATTAGTGTAACATCTTTGATATAGAAATAGTCTCATTTAATTTTCTTTTGAGTTTATTTATTACTTCAGATGTGTTGTTATTTATATTTATATATAACAAACTATTCTAAATCTTGCAGGAACAATGGCATCCACCAACGAAGCACAAATTCCACACATCCAAATACGCCAACTAAAAAAATTTCAAAGAGAGTGGACGATTCATGTTGTTATCCTAAGAACAATTGAGTCATCTTATGAGAACAACAAAGGATCAGGCAAAATACTAAAATTAATTTTTGCTGACTCAGAGGTAATGTATCAAAATTTGTTGATACTTATTCTTAAATAAAGTAATACATACAATGTTTAAGTACAATATGCATCATTTTTTATCATGACATAACAATCGTTACTTTAAATCTATGCAAAGCATTCTCAATTTTTTAAAAAATAATAAAATATAAATATAAATTAAATTAAAATTGTTGATGCTTATTCTTATATTAATTATTTTCACCTTACTATGTATAAGATCAAAAAATAATTTCCTACATTTATTAAAGAGGTAAGCAACATGTAATTGATTTTCGCATATTTTATACAACAAATATCATGCTTTCTTCGTATTTCTACGTAAATTAATTGTATACGTATGTCTAACAATATAAACAAGCAAATAATTGGAATATGACATCAACACAACATTGTATACACACTCAAAAAAAATAGTTATTAATTAAACTAAATTTTTAATAAGCATATTTACCATAAATTTAATATTTACTTGCATAATCAAGTTAAATTTTGAGCAAATTAATTTATCATGTTAGTCCCTTAACTAAGTTAGTGTTGCAAAACTTTGGTAGAATTGTTTATACAAGTAGCACCTATTGGAATTTTTTACTAAGAGCTAATCCGTATAAACAATTAAATTTGTTACTTGAGATCAAATGACTTATTAGTAAGTAGTACAAATTCTAATTCAATAACATGTAACTTTATATAAATAAGGTTAGTTTAGTTGATGAGTTAAAAAGGAATTTTTTTTTACTTCAATAACATGTAACTTTATATAAATAAGGTTAGTTTAGTTGATGAGTTAAAAAGGAATTTTTTTTTACCCGAAAATTATGAAAACCTTTCAATAAAATCTAGAGAATGGTTTTTTTAAAGTTTACCACATAAAACTAAATTTATACATAACTTACGTCATCTATTACTTATCTTATTTATCTTAGGCTTAAATGAATGTTAATGTATTAGTTATTTGTGAGATAATATTAGTAATATTTGCAGGGGAAAAAAATACAAGGTATTATGTTTGGAGAAACTATTGAAATGTATAAGCACATGCATCAGAAGAATCATGTTCTTTACATCTCAAATGGAGAAGTCAAACCAATAAACCCACTCTATGGAAATGTACATGAGTCAATTGAGTTGACATTGACTAAGAACATTTCTATCAAAGAATCAAATGCAAATTTCCAATTTGATAAGATATTGAACAACTTTATCTCAATCAAAGAGGCAATTTCCAACGAGGATACAAGGAATATAAGTAAGTATTTCTAAACACCTTTTATTTTTAGTTTAAAAATTTATAAATGAATTTTCAACTTATTATAAATTTATGTGCAGATGTTCTTGCAATGATAGCAAATGTCAAGCCTATGATCAAGTACGTTACAAGATATAATAAGGCAGACACAAGGCGGGACATAATTATAGTAGACAAAGAGTATAAACGCTTGCTTTTATTTCACAATAAATTATTTATTTAAAATATAATATATTAACCTAAAATTGTCTAAACTTTTCTTACACAGTGAGATAACATTATCTGTAACTTTATTCGGAGATTTAGCTGGCAATGAAGGTTCAATGATTGAAGGAAATATGCATGAGCCAACTATAATTGCGTTATCAGATTTTAAAATAGCATTGTACAACGGTAATATATTTAAAATGGAGTTGTAAATTAATTATCAATAAATATCAAATTCTAATTATAACTATTATATATGCAGGGGAGATGTGCTTGACTTCGCAAATTGCATCTACAATATGTATCAACCCTGAAATACAGTAATTCAAATAAAAAAGGTAACTTAATAAATTGACTTTTAAATATTTTTAAAATTATATGCAGGGCTCTTTCAAAAGACCAGATCAAGACTAATGGTGCTCCGTCAAGGCTATTTAAAAATGCAACGAAAATGAAAATTGTTGATATTTTGCAAGCTTCACAAGACTCATCAAAGGTATGATACTATAAATCCTACTATAAATTATTAATTAATCAAGAGCTTCAGTTTTAAAAAAAACTAATATAAATATATATTGTTTCATTGATGTTTATATGTAAACTACAATTATAACTAACTAAAATTTTTTAAATCTACAGGCACAATATGGCTGCTTTATTGGAAAAATAAGTAATATCTTAAATAGACATGAGGCTTGGTACTACTCATGCACAGGCTGCAATAAAAAAGTAGACAAAACTATTTACGACAAATGTCAAAATTGTCAAAAAAACAATGAAGATAGTATACCAAGGTAAAGTACTATCAATTATTCATGAAATAAAAATATAAAAATTAAATATATAAATATCATCTAATGCACAATGATAATATAAAATGTAGATATGTTGTTAAAATCATCGTGGAAGACGAAACAGACACTGCAAGAGTCACACTTTTTGACGCAGCACAAACATTGATAGGATGCGATGCTAAAAAATTCATGGATGATATAAAAGAGGTAACTTCTTACTTTATTATATTTTATACATATAAAACAATATATTTCATGTATAAGATCTTAATTTTTTTCTCATTATAACAGAAAAATAATCAGAGTTCATTGTTTCAAAAGTTTGTTCTCAACATCGGAAAGACATACAAGTTCCTTGTAAAGTTGGATGAGAAGTCAAAGGATGAACGTGCACAAGGAAAGATAATAGCACAAGAAATTCAAATCCAAGAAGACATCACAATTAACATTGATGATGATGATTCATTTCTCGATTTACCAAGAAAGAAGATAAAGGTGGAGAAGGATTGATCATGGGCCCACAAAATTTAAACTTGAATGATTTTTAATTTTTATTACATTTACAAAGTGGTTAAAGGATTTTAAATGTGCTTTTCATAAGCTTTTAAGTTTATTAATTGATGAATTTAATTTGTTAGGAAAATTTATGATTTATACTCATATGCTCATATAGTTGTTTGATAACTTTTGCATGCTTTGATTGTTATTGCAATTATTTACTTTAATTTAACATTCTATTATGTGAATCTAAATACATATTCATGCTTTGATTGTTATTGCAATTATTTACTTTAATTTAACATTCTATTATGTGAATCTAAATACATATTCATAGAATAGTTCACTTTATTAATTTAATGTGAATCTAAATACATATTCATAGAATAGTTCACTTTATTAATTTAATTTTGCATGTCAAGTATTTTTCCTTATCTATAATGCACAAAAAATATTGTTGATGAGTCGTTCGCAAGAAAGATGATGACTACACACAGCTTCCTGAACCTGTTGAGCGGATACAATAGCTTTCTATAGAGAAGGTATTTAATATATTAAACTGTGTGTTTTAGTTATGCTCATAAGATTTTCTTTTGTCTTGTCTTGACAGTTTCATGTTATTTTGAGTTTCAGATTTTTGTTTGATCAATGAAAAATGGACATCTATTAGATATTCTTAGCGGTCATGGAGGACCAGCTAATGGTTTGATGTTTTCACCTACAAGTGTAAGTCAACTCTATTTCTTTCTTTTTCTTGTTTAGAAAGATAAAATTGCGTGTTAAATCTCATTTCATGCTTGGAATTTGTCGGAAAGTTTATTTGATGATTATGTTGGTTTTTTATCGCGTTTCTTGTAGAAATGTGATATAAGGTCATTCGAGGGGCGAAGGTGAGTGACAAGGCTATCAAAGCTGCATGTTCCTTCAGGAGTCCTCAACCTCATCATTTTTTCAGGTATACCCGAGATTTTCATGCCCTTTTCCCCTTTTACATTCGTCGGTTTAATTGGTACTATATTGGATGATTGCTCTTTGTTATCCATTTATGTGTTAAAATGTTCAATTTACACACATGATTGCTCTTCGTTGGTGGTTGTATCATTTATGTTTTGTTAACAAGTTATGACTCAATTCCAGATGGATGACTGGGAATTAGTTATAAGAAATTTCCCCTTTTACATTCGTCGGTTTAATTGGTACTATATTGGATGATTGCTCTTTGTTATCCATTTATGTGTTAAAATGTTCAATTTACACACATGATTGCTCTTCGTTGGTGGTTGTATCATTTATGTTCTGTTAACAAGTTATGACTCAATTCCAGATGGATGACTGGGAATTAGTTATAAGAAATCAAATAGATGTATTTACAAAAATTTTAAATGTTAAGACCAATCTTAAAACATGTACTACCTACTCTTATGTCTCTAATACTCTGATTCTGTTATCTAATATTGATGAAAAAACCACTGACTTTGACATTTGAAGCAACCTTCAAGATGGGGAAAGTGCATGTAGCAAGTTAGTATTTAATAATCAACAACTTAATCTAATGTTGTGAAAGTGTAAATGGGATCAAAGCTGCAAGGCAAGGGTCTGACTTGAGGAGCTTTAGCGGAAATAAGTGCAAGGAATTTTTGAATATTTAAAATAAGTATAATATGTACATAATATTTGGGAAAATGAATTAGTACTTTGCATATCTAATGAAGCAAGTTAAGAAATTAAGAAATTAGTCCTAAGGTATTAAATTTGATTTCAATATCAGTACAAGAAAATTATAATACCTGAAGATCTTCTAAATTTTTATGTAGAGCTTTTTTCCAGTTAAAGTGGAGACTTTAGCATTCCTTATGGCAATAGAACTAAAACTTAACCTGATTTCATTGCCACTATGAAGGGGTTGGACACTGTTTTTTATTTGTTCTGGTGGATTGTTTGTGTGTGTGATGTGGGTAGGGGATGCTTTGGAGCTTTTATATGTTGCCAACAGTGTTGCATAGACACAGGACGGTGGTGTCAAGCCTTAATGATTTTCTCTTCAACTAGCTTTTCTCTAACTATACAATAATCAATCTCAATGTGTTTTTTTCTTTCATGAAATGCAAGATTATTTGCAATTTAATGTTACTAGCTTAATATATAATGGTACTCTGGTTTATTTAATGTTCAAATGCGCTTAGTCCAGCCATCATGACGCAGTAGATTTGAAGATACTGAAAGATAGCATTAGACATTTTAGATGAGCAGGGAAGTAACTATCTGTTGTCATTTTCCCCCCAGTTCCTCCACTACAGATCTATTTGAGTTGATTCTTTCCCAGCTTATCATTCTTTAAATGCAATAAGGCCTCTGTTCATTATATGAAAGTTTCGGAATCATAGGATACAGGTACCAGATTGTCGTGCCAAAGGACAGGTGTAGTATGAATATGTAGTAAGTGAGCCTGATCAAGTTTGAGTCTGTTCATTAACTAATAAAATAAAACGAGCTTAAGCATGCAGCAATCAAGTGAAGCCAATCCCTTCATGAACATCTTCTCAAATTCGTAGTTATAGTTGATCAAAGATTATTTTCTAATCGAATAATGTTATCGTCTCAGACTGTCTTTCGTCTTTCCTTCAGGGTTATTATGGGCAGTGTTAGCAACTATGTAGTTAACAATGGAGCATGCCCCGTCACCGTTGTCAAGAGCGTAGAAGCACATGAAGGCTAGATGATAATTCTAAACTTTCCAGTAAGTGTTTCTCCATAATAAAATCTATAGCAAGTTTTTAAACCATTTGATCTGTCTAATTACTTACAAATGAGAGTTGGAATAAACATGGAGATTTCCATAAAATGGGTATTTAAGTGAAGATTCTTAATCACATGTTAAAGAATTTTCGTCTACAAATGGAGCTTTTGTTAATGCATTTAACAGTCCATTTTTATTAGTTTTGCATCTAACACTTGTTTGAGAATGCTTTAGTTTTGTGGAATGGTGGGTTATAAAATTACGTTGAGGTCTGTTGTCAAATTATTTAAGTGTAAACATACAAGTTTAGCTGTTGCCCTCTTTGGATTTTTTTGTATTGCGAAATTATCAATTATAGATTTTGGTGTTTTCTACAGGTCACACCAACTGCTCATTTCCAAAATGACCTTGGCCTTGACAGTTTGGATGCTGTAGAAAATGACATGGCTCTGGAGGAAGAATTTGGGTTTGAGTTACCTGAAAATGAAGCAGACAAGATCAACTATGTCGACATGGCTGTCGACTTCATCGACTCATCCCCAGGCAAAATAAGAGAATTAATTTGTTCTTTTAATTTTTTTCATTCTCTTTGCAGTGTCTATTTACGTCGGAGGGAGGGGGGGAAGGCAGATTTTGAGATAAATATTTGGAATAATTATTTAATTTGCTTTCCCACTCTACTATATGCAGCCAGACATTCTAAAATCTCAAAAGTTTTGTTGGAAAATAAATGTTTGCTGCTTTTTTAATGTGTTAGCAAAAGTTGCCTGCCTGACATGTGATTGGGAATTTCATTTGGCTTTTTCTGTTATGTGAATATATCACCATTAATTTAAACAGGCACTTAGTTTGAAGAGCTTTACTCCTTGCATGATCATAGTTACTCGCCATTTTACATTTTCAGTTAACTGTGCTAGGATATCTTATGGATGATTTCCGTTGGATGAGAATAAGTATCAGGGAGTTTTATTTCTCATAAGCTATGGAATTGGCTTAGGAGCACAGGGCTACATGAAAATTACAAATTTTCATTGACTTCAACAACTCTAAATTTGTGCTAAATTAAACATTAAATACATCTAAGGGACTGATCATACATCCATGAAGACAAGCTTATACAGCTAACCAATAAAATCAAAAAATAGAAGATGAGGGATAAGGAAAATATTGAGGTACATGTAAGAACCTGACTTATAGCTGAGACAAATCATATTTAAGCGAGTTTAGGTTGTGAAACTTCTTTCTAATAGTAAAGACAAATCATATTTAAGCGAGTTTAGGTTGTGAAACTTCTTTCTAATAGTAAAATTTATTGGACATCGTGGTCAACATGTTGTTTAGGTTGTGAAACTTCTTTCTAATAGTAAAATTTATTGGACATCGTGGTCAACATGTTCCAATATAAATCTGTAAATTGGAATCATATTATAGCATTTACAATATTGATCACTTGCTACTCCAACAATTAATTTTGACACATTACAAACATAATAGCCTTTAATCTTGCTCAAGTTCTGTAATTATTATTCTCAGTTCTCAAGAAGACCATTCAAAATAATGAGAGTTCTCCGGATTCTACGACGAGGAAAGCTAATGACACCATTGGGAATGTTCTCAGATCATAGGATTTTATATACAACAAAATATCCTAATTTCACAATGCCTCAGAGGCAGAATTATCTGAACGATTGGCTTCAGCAACTCTCGATGACCAAGGATTCCACGCCCTGAAACTACTTTGATGTGGTATTGATGTTAAAATTGGACCCTGCATCTAATGCAACTGAATAAGAATGAGAGAAAAATTTATTTGTCTTCTAGAAATTTGTTTGCATATGTTGGATGATTGTGAAAAAAAAAATTCAAGAATTTGCATTGAACAAACTTTTCCACTGTTTTTCCCCTTGCTGGACATGTTCATTACAACACATAGAAAATTTCTTATTTACTTAATATATAATAATTTCAAATATGAGATTGACATTCTATTACAATAGCAATAAGATATTCTATTTTTTTAAGTAAATTTGCAAGATATTATAATATTATATATTAATGCAAACTTACACTAAAATATATTCTATTTTGCAAGTTACTTTGAAAGATATTATCAAATGATATATTATTCCAAACTTACAATAAAAGTGCAATCATATTCAAAAATATTTTGTAAGTTGTTTAAATTAGATATTCTATGTTTTATGTAGCCATAATTTACTCTAATTTAAATAACATTTAAGTTCTTAATCCATTACTAACATTCCATAATTTTAACATTCCATAATTTTATAACAAAACTATATAAATGAATTTATAAATTAAAAAAAAAACCACGTGCATTGCACGTGCAATAAAAATTAGAATATATATATATATATATATATATATGAATTAAAGGTTAAGCTATAATAGCAATGAAAACGGACTGATTAGATCATATGACATGTATCAAAAAAATTAGAGAATGAGGAAAATGAGGTGTCATTCTCT